TGAACAAAATATGTGTCCACACACACGCATATGATGACACACGTCACGTGCATAGGAGAGCAGTGTGCTTGGCTGTTCCCTTGATGACGAGAGAGCCTGGGATCCAGAAGAAGCCAGGTTCTGAGTTGAGATGAGTTACCAGAGGAAGTGAAGGGGCAGCAGCTGAACCTTGAGTAACACAGCTAAACCTAGCCCTTCCTATAGTCCCCTTACATTGCTGGAGTGCTATAGAGGAGTCATAAGGGGAGCAGAATGGCCTCTTGGAGAATCCTTCTCATATGTGGGCAAGGAGAGCCACGGTGTTCATCTTCCTATGATCCGTCCTGCCAGCCTTTGCTGTGTGCTATTTTGGGAGCAGGAGAGAGCTTGTGCCATATTGCTCAGCCCCCAGTCATTCTGGACTGCACCACAGCTCAACACTAAGCTGGAGCAGCTACTTGCTTTAGTTTATGTTGGGGACCCACTTTGGCTTTCCAGTTGGCCCAGAATCTCTCCGTTGGCCCAGAAGATGCAAAAACAGTGACATCCTCCTATCCTTCCTGGAGCTTGTCTTCTGTGCTATGTTTGCATCTCCGGAGATACACAGAATGTAAACTGGCTCTAAGCCTCTCCTTTAATTGCCAAAGAATTTGAGATCCAGGATCATGCTACAGATATTTCTTATTCTGTCTCCATCCTAGAAACATCAAGAAATGGGTTGAAGTTTTTTAGAATGAACTGCTCTCAAAACTTCTTATGGAGATGAGCTTTCCAAGCTTTGGACAGAGACTTTTGTGCTTCCTGGCTGCCCATATTCCTCTGGAAACAAAATAACATTTATTAATTTAGATCATTACTGGGGCTGAGTCCCAGTGCAATTGTATTTTAGTTCTTTGATGCATACAGAACCTCAAAGCCTAGAAGACTTGAATGTGTAGGCAGTTGTAGTGAGGTGGGTGTTGGTCTCGTCTCCCGAGTAACTAGATAAATAAATACCTAGAGTAGATATTAAGAATAATTTCTTTACTGAGAGAGTGGTCAGGCATTGGAACAGGCTGCCCAGGGAGGTGGGGGAACCACCATCACTGGAAGTGTTCAAAAAACGTGTGGACGTGGCACTTCAGGACATGGTTTAGGGGGCATGGTGGTGTTGGGTTGATGGTTGGACTCGATGATCTTAAAGGTCTTTTCCAACCTTAATGATTCTGTGATTCTGTGTATTCCAGACGCGGGGGGGTAGCGGGGTTTCTCCTGTGCTGGGCTCCCGCCGCTGCCTGCAGCCAGCCCGGCTGCGACTAGGTGGCAGCACTCCACTGGGCAACCTGCCTCCGCGGAGTCACCAACGAGCCACTCCAGCTCACAGAAAAGCCAGCATATTCCGATTTGTAGGAAAATAGAGGGTAAATAGAAGTCACCGAAGCCTGCTGAAGTCTTATATCAGGGCTGTGCAGGACAGCTGGAAAGCTACAAGTGAACTGAGCCGTTCTTTTGCAATGAAATCCAATACCACACAAAAAATCACCCTGGTTCGGACATCAAAAAGGGAAGAAAAACAGAAAAAACTCTGTAATAATTTTCTCAAGGCCTCAGACTGTGCCTCCAAACAAAGTCACAGTTCTCACATTCACCTGGAACTGGAACAACTCTGGCAAGGCAGATGCAGCACGAATAGCTCAACAAAGCTTTTGTCATTTTGGCTTAGTTTTGTCTCGAACACAATGAGATAACATCGTCTCTCACAAGTCAATTTTATGAGTAGCTGTCAACTCAGTTCCCATCTGTTCTGGAAAACAAGCCTTTTCACATTAGGGTAGGATGTGGAGTCAAATATACAGAGCACAGATTAAAATTAAAGTATTTGAAGCCCCTTGCTATGCCAGGTAGCGAGGGGAGGTTTTGCATTTGAGCTTCCACATCAAACCAGTTTCTCTTTCAAACCTTTTATTAACACTTATCATTTATAAAAGAGAAAGTATATACAGCAAAGAGGAAAAGAAGAAAGAAGCAATGTATTGTATGAGAATACACTCTTTGCAGCACTCGGGAGATACAGTAGGTAGGAAAAAAAGCAGAGATTCATTAAAGTAAAAGCATTAACACAACTACAAAATGTGAATAAAATCTAGTAGGAGAAAGGAAGGCACCACCTAACAGAGAAAGTGAGAATTAGAGCACTGGAGTGGCACGATACAGGCAAGAGATCCCGAAGCTGTCTTCTTACAGTGCTCAGGGTTGACCATTAGAGCTTGGGAAGATTGGGCTATGCACTCTGCTCTGACTCTTTTTCTGTGTATATAGATACGTAATACTGTCATTGCTACTAAACATCCAACACTTGGAATTGCACCCACCGCTACATGCTACTGAAAAGCAAATGTGTCTAACGTGGAAGTCGACACACCTGGGGCAGCTTCAACAGCTGAGCTCTGGTCAGCGGTGTCACAGCTGGCTGTTAGACGTGTCTGCTCAGAGCTGCCATCCCCTCCTGGGAGCTGAGCCCCGAGCTGCACCTTACAGCCCTTTAAGAGATCAAGAGACTGTAAGTGGCAGCATTTGCACCAGAATTGCCAAGGTGTTAACATTGATTTCTGACATTAACATTGATACGTCACTACAATCATCGTGACATATTCGTAGCCTTATTTTATGACCCTCCTCAGAATCCTAAGCGCCCCACTAATGAAGAAATATCTACTTCTGCCTGTGCTCTGCCGCTGTCAATGGTGAAGAAAACAAAACTTGTCTCCTTAGGTATTGTTCACTGTTCTCATATTCAACTATTACTTACATTCACAAAGAGTACAAAAAGTTCTTCATTAATTAATTATTAAGAGAGTCAGGAGTGTTCTATAACTTCAGACTGTGCTATATAGAAAAAGGATTCCTGTACTTTTTCCTCAAGTACCTCTCTCAGCCCTGTTTGCAGCAAGCATCTGACAGGAGGGAAGCTGTCTGGGTAGAGCAATGCCTTCCCTCTACCCCAGAAATTTCTGCCCAGATTTAGCTGAGTTGGGAACTGTTAAGGACTGTCACATCCTTTTTTTTCTTTTTTTCATTTGCATTCCTCATAAAATATTGGCAGTTTGCTGAAATCACTGAACATAACAAAGGCAAAGCCAGCCTAACAGCTCTGCCAAAGCAGCAGCTGCAGGTACTGGATAGAGGACACCTCTGAACTTTCCAAATGAGCTTTGGTAAGAAGATGCCTGTGTATGGAGGAGGAGAGAGCTAGCTTCCCACCTCCAGCCCATTCTCAGTCCAGCATTGCATCCTTCCCCGGAGGTAACATCTAACGTGAGAGTTTTTCCAGCTCACGGTGCCCTCCTAAACCATTTCTCTTCCAAAAGCGAACACAGCACCAAGCCACCTCTTTCTTTGCTTCCAAGAGAAAGTGAGGGAAATATTTTCCTGTACCACTGACGTGATTGACGTCTGTGCTATGCTGGTGATAGCTTGAGGTTTCAAACCCTGCTGTGCATGGAAGATTACTGTGTGATTCTGAGCCAGACTCGCCACGTACAGAAGAAAAAAAACTGAGAAGAAACTGGAAACTACCCTGTTCTACTCAATGGGTTTCTGCAAAACTGTGATGTCAGAGCAGCAGCATATACATTCGGGAGGGGGCTAGCTAGGCTTAGCAATATACTGACACCAGAGCTGTATCACAGTCTAGAGATGCTTTGCTGCAGTATGATTAGGTGCCAGTGCTATCCTGACACCTGAGACTCAAGTCCTGTGCTGGCCACCAGGCATGCAGCTTTGCCCATCTTCCATAGGTCTGAGCATCAGAGAGTGCCCAGGACTGGAAACAGGCTCACTGCCATCCCTGGAGCAAAGAAGAGCTGTTGGTGTGTGGGGCTGGGAATGCCTTTTGCTTTCCAAGAAGGAAGAGGCGTGGATGAGAGGTGGGTCAGAAGTACAGGGGGGAAGAAAGGTGGATGGAGAAAGAGAGGGACGGGTCTCCAAACACCAAATTGCTTGCTGCTCCGAAGCCTTTGCAATCGGGTGAGGCTCTCTACAGACACATCCTGGCCCTCTCACAAGATCACGTTGCCTCAGGAGGAGAGAAAGAGAGGCTGGGCACCCCTGCCCCTTCTCCCAAAAAATAACTGCTTGACCAAAAATTTGAATCTAAGAGCCGTTGTTGTAGGTATCATGATACTTCTTTGTTGCCTGTCATGAAAGATTCAGGTGGTATCACACACCACTAGCTTGGACCCATATTCCCCATCCCACGTTCTGACATGCTGACTGCATTAGCATTGTCTTTTATACTAATAATGTCTTTTACAGCAGAACTCCCTGTAGGGGAAAGAAATCTTTGAAGCTACTCGTTCAAATCTTCAAAGAAGGACCTTGAAGAGCATTCACAGAGTGTGGGAAAGTCTGGAACAAGGGATAATGCTATAAAGCTGGCTTTCCCCTTTTTCCATCCATACTTGTACCACTATTGTGTTCCCACTTTTTGCAGTTATATAAAGCTCCCTGAGGGCTGAAGAAAGTTTATCCATTCTTCCATCCTGTTGGAATTGTCTACCAGCGTCTTCAAAAAGTTGTGAACCAGAAATATCCCATTAACCTGCAATACAGATTGCAGCCTTAGCCCCTGGCAATGAAGAGGTTCGGGGGGGGGGGCTGCATGCTCCTGTTAGCATACTCTTTTTAGGCACGTTTTTTCAAGTCAAATGCCTAACCTTTGCTGGCATACACCATTCTCGGCAGTTTGAAAGCCAAATGCTAAATCTTTGCTAGTGTTTCACAGCAAAAGTCCCTAGGAAATGCCAACTTATACTACTAAAGAATGTGGTAAAAGCTGGTAGATTTTAGTTGTGGAATCATACTATTTAGAGAAATAATAAATCACTCAAGACGACATGTTTTCTCCCCCTGAGCAGACGCTTTTTCTTTCATTTCCGCTGTGACATATTCCACAACCCACACAATCATTAAGTCACTAGGTTTTTACAGGAACTTCTGTGGTAAAAGCAAAAAAAATCCATCAAAACCAAACGATACAAAGCTGTGTGCATGTCCTGTGGCTGCTCATTACTGACCCTGATCAAGAGCGGTGCACTGCTCTCCACGTTTTTTTCTACATGGAAACTGCTGAGTTCTACTACGTTTATTACTTAGCTCAAGACTATCTGCAATATGTGCTTCAGGAATCACATCTTGGACCAGCCCAAACCAGGGTTGCTCATGTCTTGCGAAACATTGCATCTTCGCTGCAAGATCAAACCGAAGAGGCTCTCAGACCATTCTTGGACAGGATTGATATTACCTCTGTAGCTGTTGCCAAGAGAATTTTCAATGGTGTCATGGAAGAAAAATTTGCTGATGGAAATACTAACTGGGGACGAATTATGACCATATTTACTTTTGGAGGTCTTCTCACGAAGAAGCTTCAAGAGCATGGAGTTCAGCTGACTGGAGAGGAGAAGGAGCAGATTTCTTATTTCATCACAGAGTACATAATAAACAACAAAGCCGAATGGATAGATGCAAACGGTGGCTGGGTAAGTTTATCATTTTCCACCGAAGTCTAGATTAGGAGATTTTATTTCATTAAGGAAAACTGTTGTTTCAGACATTGTCAAAATAATTTTATCCAGTGTTTTAGTTAGTTGTTTAATATTTGATGTCTAGAATGTCTCCTTGAGATTTACAGTGAAAGCTTTGCTTCTGCTTTAAGTAGAACAATGCTAAAAGACAACTTTCTTTTTCAAAAGGCACTTTCTGTACCTCTAACAGCCAAAGCCCTAGAGTTAGTCTTGAATCATAGGTTTATATGATAATTCAACTTGAGAGGGACTTTAGGAAATCATCTGGTCCAAGCAGGCTAAATCATGCATGCCATTAAGTTTCCCATTATTAAATCTAAAATTAAGCGGCATCCTAAGGTCAGTGCCGCAATCTTGCTTCCATAGGGGAGTTGGTCCAAAAATACCGAAGTTCAAAGTAAAGGGAAGAATACACAGGTGTGATCCTCACAGCTGAAGTCAGTGCTTTTGCTGTGGATTTCAACAAAGCCATTATTTAATCCCCCAAATCAGTTTTACTTAAACAAATTTACAGGTAAGTGCAATTGGGGTTAAATCTTTTCTGTTTGTTTGGAGTGCGATAATCCTAGAACTTCCATATATCAATGGTCAATGCTGAGAAAAGCATTTGTCAATGTGTGGATTATTTTGCCAAGCTGCTGCAATTCCCTTCTGCCAGTGGAGGGGAGGGGTCCCTTTTGCTTTGCAGAGTTTCACCATGCCAGTACCTTTTTCTTTTTAGTTAGAGGAAGCTGAGAATCAATGACATCAGAGTCATTTATTTCCCTGGTGCTTTTTTCCCTCACCTATACGTAAATGTTACTTTCTCTTTCCATAGCTCTCTCGACTCGCTTCTCTTATATTTCCTATTTGCTATTACGTTCTTCCCTCACTGGTTTTCTAGTGTCTGTCTTTTCCTTTTTTTATCTTTTTGCTTGTTTCAATCCTTCTCTGTCTGGTAACAGTAAAAAAAGATGGTAATGAGTCATAGACCCTTGATGCATCAGATTTATTGTTAAAGGCTTCTCTCCTCCTCTCTTTCAAATAGAGTCAATTTTATTTAAGAGAAGTATCAACTCCAGGCAACATTCTGTCATAATACGTGGCTCATTGTAGTAGAATAAGGAGGCTTAAAGGAAGGTATTTATACTACTACATCAGAAACATACTACTTGTATCTTCCTTTAAGATGTAGGCTCAGATGATACAGTTCACATTTTCTATTTACACAGGGAGGGCAGAGTCTTGACTTGGAGATAAAACAAACAAACACGCAGCAAGGTGCAGCTATTTTCAGCTACTGTTGATAAAGCCCTATTCATCTTTTGGAGGGAGAGCTCTGAAAATCTGTTCCTCTATACGCAATGGTGTAGCACTCTGTTAATGTGACCCTAGCACAGAGTGGTGCATTTTTCCCACACAAGTTATTTTTAAGCTGTCCCTAACTGTGCATGCTTTCTTACACAGGAAAACGGCTTCCTAACGAAGTTTGAAAGAAGATCACTACTATCTTTCTCCAAAATTACAGCCATGTTCATAGCTGTTTTTTCCTTGTTCAGAGAGTACTACTGAAATAAATGGACCTGCCATTCATGTATAACCTAGATATTGCCACAAGCTTCATTGCTAAGCTTTCCTCCAAGCAATATCAACGAGAAAGTAATTTTTTTCCATAATTTGTTTTTAATTTATTTGTATTTATTTTGACTAAATACAATGTTTAACATGCTATCCTAATTGCCAAACCTGAAGATGAGATCCCTCCAAAGAGGAATCAACACAGCATCATGCAGCAATTCAAGTCATCCTTTCCAGGCAGGACTGCTTCCAGAGAGAGATGACTCTCCACATCCTGACAGCTCTTGGAATCTCTGTTGCACCTCCATGAAAGGACATTATTTTACTGAAATACAATCCAATGGGTTAAGAAAGAAGTTTTAATGTCATTTGTTTTGTAAATGAAATACTACTGTAATGCATTTTATTGCAACCTTTCTATAAGCAAAAGGGGGGGAGTGTTCTGGGAAGAAAAAGGAAATGCAAATTCCAATGTAAAAGTGGGTACAAGTTACTGACATAGACTAAGCAATTTTTATGGGAAGAACAATTTGTGGAAGCTAGCAACTTAAAAATGTGCACTCACTTACTGTTAATGCAATGGTACGTGTTTCTCTGTTGTATTTTTTAATTGCTCATATCTACAGTGAATGTTCTTTCAAATTTGTGTAATGTAGTCATCTGGCTGAACTTTTAAACTAGATGTTTTAAAACAGACAAGTACAAAATACTTTTTAAATGAGAAATTTCTGTAAATACACTAATATTTTTGAAAAATACATTAAAGTATGTATTTTAAAGTCTTATGATGGGTCTCATTCTTTCAAAAAAATTGATGGGAAAAGGTCTACCCAAGTAAGATAGCTTAAAAAAAGCTATCATAGGGCTATTGGAGAGTGCAAGTAGTATATGGGTTTGACCTGAAGTCCATGGATGTCAAGACTTCAATTTTCCGTAGTACTTCTTAAGTATTCACTGGTAGGTTGTATAAGAAACAGATAGCTTGTGGCAAAATAAATGAACTGGATCAGCTCTGATGACAGTAATTAGTGTTTTGAGATACACTGCAAACTCAGCAATTCACAAGCAGGACCTAACAGATTTCCAGGCTTTTCTAGTCTGGGGCAACTATTGTTTTGACTGGAATTCCATTTGCTTTCAAACTTTAAACAGCAGTTCTTCAAGAAATCATTCGAGAAGGGTTTTCTTTAGCTGTAGTGACTCTCCTACTTTAGGGAACTAAAGCTGGGTCTAAACACTCTTTTTGTGTAGGCGTTTGTTGGGAAGTGAACCAGACTGAGGCAGCAGTGGGCCTGTGGCGCACAACAGCAGTGCTCTCGGAGACAAATCCTCTAGACAATCAAGGCTTTATGATACCAGGAGAATGAACCAGCCTCCTTCTGGTAATGGGTTCTCCATCTTTCATCTCGACGTAAGAAATTCTTTGCAGTAAGAACAATCATCTACTGGAACAACCTCCCCAGGGACACGGTAGAGTCCCCTATACCCTAGGGACTGGAGGTTTTCAAGATGCGACTGAACAGAGTGCTAAACAGTGTCATCTAGGCTCCCTTTCCCATGAAAGGTTGGACCAGATGACCTTTAGAGGTCCCTTCCAACCTGGGTTCTTTTGTGATTCTATGCTCCACCTTGGCAGGTTTAACTACAGAACACAAACTGATGTTAACATTTGCTAGAACCTATATTGCTCCCTCTCCATCTTCCTCTCCCTCTTCATCTTCCTCTCCCTCTTCCTCCCTCCTCTCCCTCTTTCTCTCCCTCCCCAATGAACACCAAGATTATTTAGCATGTATAGCAGGACTTCTGAAATAAACTTTGCTGCTGTTGAAGAAGAGATGGCAGCTTCCTGAGGGCAGGGGGCTGCTAAATGGCATATGGCCACCCCCTGAACACCTATGGGAGTTCCTGTCAGAAATTACATTTTAAAACATATTTTGACATATATTTATTTATTTGCAGTCTAAGTCTTCATGGTAAGAACAGTAATTCTTAGTTCCTATTTGTGCACTATTGCAAGCGCATACTTGAGTGGCTAACACCAGTCTATTAATACCACGTTCACTTCCTTCTACACTAATCTAGTAACCTATTTTATACTGGGGAGTACAATTTTTTAATTAAACGTAAGAGGCTGACCTAGTCTTTTCAAAATCTAGGTGATGTAATAATCTTAGAACTGGTCCAGTGGGCTCCAGGTTATCTTCATCAGGAGAAAACCTCCATTTGCTCTGCATTTAAGAGCAAGAAAAGCTGTGATGAGATATACCACCCAGATTCGAAACATTATAAAATCTCTGAAAACAACAGAGCTATTAACTAAGTCTTATAAAATAGTGTAGATATGCTTTATTAACTGTGATGAAGTTATCTATACATGACACTGAGCAGTGCCGCAGGTCCTGGGGCACTGCGGTTTGAGAGATCCTTACAGCTGTCAGGCAATACACAGGAGAACACAGCACTGTTTCTAGAGCAAAAGATGAGGTCAAAGAGCTGCAGAATGGGACAGCCGATGACTTTTATCAATGTGCACGGTAGCTAAATTGAGATGTCACCAAATGCCATGTACAACAGATTTATGAAAACACGTATTCTGCTATAGAAACGTCCCTTTCTGCACTTAAAGGTGGGTTGAATCATTAAATGTGCCAAAACGAAGCCTCCAGTGTCTGCCTTTGGACACGGCAACGCAAGCCAGCACACCTTCCCTGCGGGCACGGAGCCCGTGCACTTTCGTTCATGACTCCCCCCTCACGGCCCAGGCCCACCAGCGGATGCTATAGGGATATGAAACCGTTTGATAAGACAGTGGTAAAATATCCCGCCAAAATGTAATTTCCCTTTCTACAGCAAAATCAGGAACAGGGAAATTCTTTGTAATCTTAAAAAAAAACATAAAGATGGGCTTTGCAAGGGGGTTGGCAGGGCCCGGGCTGGCCCTCCAGCACCCTGACGGGTGGCGGTGGCCAGAGTCGAGTGACCATGGCGGCCACCCAGCCCCACAGCAGCGGCCCTGCGGCC